TATAGTTGCAACACTTCTCTTTTCACGCTTGTCGATACATGATTTCAATCGTTAATATCTTTATTATTAATATGTAAAAATTGTAAACATTTGATATTAAAATAGTATAAATCGAGACGAATTTAACAAGATTTCACATGACTATATTTTTTCATAGCTATAAATAATTAAAGGTAGTCAAAGTGGAATACATGAATAGTGTAAAAGTCAAATTGTTGTAACTATAAAAGAAAAAGGAGGAAGTATGAATGTATTAAGATTAAATCTTGTTTTTGAGAATAATTATTATTATATTTTCATCACATACATGTACTTAAGGTGCTAACTAAATAAGTAGACTACAAGAGAGAAGGCACGTCAATAAATTTGGCAAGAATTAATCATATTAAAAGACAGGAATAAAGGAAGATACGTCATCATCAAATTTGGCAAAAAAAATATTGTTACACCAATTTGGCTAATGACAAACATCAACCCAGGAATAGAGGAAGATACGTGTAAGGTGTTGATGAAAAGCATTAATGAATATGCTTCCAATATGACAAACTGTCAAAACTCAGCACATGGATTTTTTATTTTTTAATTTGGTAGTGATAGTGAAATAGATCTAGATCAGACTCCATTCAAATTACTCCCTCTGTACTTTAACTAAAGTGTATATAATCGCGATTTATATAATAAACTTGAATTATTATAAATTGATTCTAATAACAGCTTTGGTCGGTTCGCTGCTAATAATCCCACTTTTTGATTATTATCCAATAATTCCATTTTTAGGGGGCATTCTCTTCTAATGGTCCCTAACCTGTTGGTAACCGGTATAATAGATTAACATGCAACATGTCACTTTGTGATTCGTCAAAATATTTTTTTTTATTTTTTTTTTTAAAAATTTAAAAAATTATTTTTTTTCCCTTTCCTTCTTCCTTATCGTTTTTTAAAAAAAAAATTAAAAAATTAATTTTTTTTCTTACCTCCTGGTGGCCAAGGAATTTATTAGAAAAAAAAAAAAAACTTACCCAAATAACAAGTTACCGGTCATAAGGGACCATTAGAAATGAATACCCCTTGAAGGTGAAATTATTAAATATTAATCAAAAGGTGTGATAATTAGCAGCGAACCGGTTAAAGATGAGATTATTAAAATCAATTTCCTATATAAGAAAAAGAAACTACAACTAATTAAAACTTTAGAGCAGCCAAAACACCTTTAATTTGACTGTACTTGGTACATAATAATGGTTCAAAAGGTCTCAGATGAATTGCCACATAGAATTGAAGGCACTATCTTCATCACGTACCATAAAGCTAGCCACCAAGCCTTTTTCTTGTCATTGCATGGCTAACCAGCTACCAGCCTGTGAAACCATATCTTATACATGTATGTACCTAGGCTATGATATCCTATCATTTAATTTTGTGCTTGGGGCTTAAACCAACTTAGCCACATTAATTTTGACATTATTTTTAATCAACTTATAATAATTCTCATGAGGTAGATAAATGATCTGCTAGTTGGGTATATCGGGACAGATTAATTGACCTCCTTATTTCACAAACAAATTGAAGGAGCATAATTTCACCATAAATCATCTACATCATTAAATTGGGTCAAGTAATAAATGGAATAAAGGATTGTAATTTAAGGTATGCATTAGCAGATTCACAATATGGGTATATCGGGACCAATAAATTGACCCCCTTATTGTCCCTTTTTTTTCTTTTTTTTTTTTTTATTTTAAAATGGACCTTATTGTCTCTTTTAAATACTTATAATTAAGTTTTTTAGAATTCGTCAATAAATTTTTTGTCGTAATATATAAGTGTGAACCTTAGCATTTACTACATGTGTCTTTGAATATAACATAATTCAACCATTGTAAATGTGTTCCCATTATACATACATACATCTATATAAGTATCTTGGTGATACAAACTAGCTACACTTATTATTTCACAAACTATTGCGTCAGTCCAGCCTGATCAAATGTTTCGTCAGTCCAGCAGATTTTTGCTTTATATCAATTATCGCTCCCATCGGCGGCGTTGTTATTGGCGGTGGTATCCTTGACGGCGAGAAACTCGTTGATTGTTGATTATATTTGTCCATGGTTTATGCTTGAATTGACTTGATAATTGTGTGACATTCTCGGATATTTTGAAAATGCCCAAAAAAATCGATTTAGGGCTTTCATGTGTGATGTATAATTGTTGAAATTGATTGTCCAATGTGATTGTATGTTGAATTGTGAGCGTTTTGATAACAAATTCATGTATTTTGGTTGAGAAACGAGCGTGTTATTTATACCCATGAGCACTACTAGAAAACAGCCAATCAACGACGGAAAAAATCCGTCGGAAAACCCTGAAATTCCGTCGAAAATGCCCATTTCCGAAGGAATTCCGTCAGAAGGCACCGTCGCATTACCTTTTGTAGGAATTTCGCGATCTTCCGAGGGAAATTCCGTCGGAACGGTCCATTCCGACGGAATTTCCGACGGATTTATGGTTGTCAGAGTCAAGTTTGACTTAATTGGAAATTTTGTCGCAAAGTTCCGACGGAACTGTTTCCGTCGTTATACTTTACCTTCCGATGGAATAGTCCATTGGAAACTTCCGACGGATTTTCAGTCGGAACCTGTCGGAAAAAAAAAATAAAAAAAAAGGAAAAAACCTACCTCGCCCTCACCCACCTTAACCCACCTAACCCTAACCCACCAGATCCACCACCTTAACCCACCACCGTAACCCACCAAAACCCTCTAACCCAAACCCTAACCCACCACGCCTAACCACACCCTTAACCCACCACCGCCTTAACCACCATGTCTAACCACACCCTAACCCACCACTGCCTAAGCACCACGCCTAACCACACCCTAACCACCCACGCCTAACCACACCCTTAACCCACCACCGCCAATAATCCGGTTTACCCCACCATAACCCACCAACCCGAACCCACCTCACCACCCACCAAAAAAACCCCTAACCCGTGAAAAAAAAATTAAACAAAATTCATAACATAAAATAAAAAACAGAAATTAAAAATTAAATAAATAGATCTAAAATCAACACAATTCAAAATTTAACAAAAATATACATTGAAATTTGACAATTCGAAATTTAGCAAAAATTTAACTTAAATATACAATTATTTCAAAAACAAAAAGTTATACATTGAAAATTTGAACAAAATAAAACTAGATCTAATTCTAACCAAAATTAAATGTAGATCTGTTTTCGGTGTTGTCGGAGGTTGTTGCGATGGTGGTGTTCTTGCGCGGCCTTGATGTAGCCGGTGGTTGTTGCGGTGGTGTTCTTCTTGGCGGTTGTTGCGGACGGTGGTTGTTGTGGTGGTGGTGGTGTTGCAAAGAGGAGTGATAAGGAGATCAAGAAGAAAGAGAAAGGGGGAAAAAGGAGGGATGAGAAGAGAAGAAGGAGGGCTGAGAAATTAAAGGGAAAGAATAAGAAGAACAAGCAGACATGCAGAGGAGAGGGAAAGAAAGAGAGAGGAGAGAGGAGAGAGAAGAAGAAGAGGGGCGTGGAGAGAGAATAGGAAAGAAAGAGAATTAGGGGGGGTGTTATGTGAGTTCCGTGTTTTTAGATTTAGGTTTTTTTTTTTATAAAATTCCGTCGGAATAGGGTGAAATTCCGTTGGAATATTCCGACGGATTTAAAATCCGTCAGAAATTTCCTACGGAATTAAAACTCGTAGGAAATTAATATGTTCCGAGGGATTTATTTTCCCTCGGAATTTACAGCTTCCGACGGAAATTTCCGTCGGTAGATATTTTCCACGGGAATATTCCGTTGGAAGCAGTAAATTCCGAGGGAAAAAAAATCCGTCGGAATATTTCTGAGGGATTTTCCGTCACAACTTATCTTTTCCAACGGATATTTTGGACATACCAAAATTCCGTCAGAATTATCGAATTTTCCAACGGAATTTAAGTCTGTCGGAACTATTCCGTCGGAAAACAGCCTATTTCTAGTAGTGGAGCTTAGTACGACACCTTCAATGGTGGTTCTGCCATTGTTGACCTTTTAATTTATTTTTATAATATAAATTCTATTGTCTAGGATTATATCATCTATAATAAGTTGGATGATATCATCTATAACAGGATGTGATATTATGTATATCAGCCAACAAAAAGAACATATCAGCTAACAAATGAAGCATATATATCAGCCTACAAAAGGAACATATCAGCCAACAAAAGATAGATATCAGCTAACAGATTGAACATATCAGCCAACAAAAGGATGAAATCGGCAAACAAAAGTACCAGGTAAGCCAACATATTGTACATATCCATCCTCTATCAAATAGTACATATCCTCCAACAAACTTTACGTATCCTCTATTAAGTAACACATATCCTCCAACAAATTGTACATGTCATCTATCAAATACTACATATCCTCCATCAAATACTACATATCCTTTAATAAACTATAGTATCCTCAATCAACTAACACATATCCTCCACCAAATACTACATCATATCTTCTAACAAACTGTACGTATCCTCTATCAAAGATAAATTGTACATATCCTCTATCAAATACTACATATCTTATAACAAACAATATATATCTTACAACAAACTGTACATATCCTCTATCAAATAATACATATCCTCGAACAAGTTGTACATATCCTCTATCAAATACTGCATATCATATATATTTGACACACGAATTATTTGGTGCGTTTGCCGCACCCAATACGTTCTCTCATTGTTTTTATGTGAAAGCTACTCTAATTTTTTAATACATTTTCGACACATGCTTCATACATATATAGTCAATCATGCGAAGGAATACATTTTGTCAAACATGCATCCCCACACGGCCACGCACATTACCTACAAATTATTTGCATTGCTTTCCAACTTTGGAAACACCTTAATTTATTTGTTAGTGTGTTTTTACATTTCTACCCTTTTTACTACTTATAAATATCTAATGAACTGGATTGAATTGGCATGCTTAGCTTGGAAAAAGTATTTGTATTTTATGCTCATCATATCAAAAATAATGATAAGCAACTCCGCTAAGTCTTCCTCAACCAAAAGAGATAGGAAAACCGTAGAGAAAGAGCGAAGAAACACATTGAAAATTCTATATTCAGAACTTAACTCCCTTCTTCCTCGCAATGATGCCTCCTCTCCAAAGGTCCCTCTATCTCTCCCTCTCATAGATATCTTTGACTATATATACTTTGTCCGTCTTTAAAAGTTCTTCCTATTTTGACTTATTTGTGAGATTACTATTATCCCAAAAGAAAGAACTTTTAAAGGTCGAGGGAGTAATGTATTATACATACAATACCTTTGTCTGGATTTTAATGCCACGGTGCAATAAAGTGCACTATATCAACATATATGACAACAATTACTAGGGCATATATTAGTTACTACCTCTCCTATGTTTGTATTTAAATCAGTTGTTACATAGTCAATACATTATGTTACAACATTAACGTGTCATTGACGATGATGGTGTACATAAATATTTGCAGGCAATTCCGGATCAAATAGATGACGCCACAAACTTCATCAAACAACTACAAACGAATATCGAAAATTTGAAGCAAACCAAGGATAGAAGAGTATCAAGTAGTAGAACAAGTTATTATTCGAAGAATTCGCCAGTCCAAATTGAAGTGAGAGTAAATGGAAGCGCCCTTGTGGTGACTTTGGTTACGGGGTTGGAGTGCCAGTTTGTTTTCACTGAGGCAATTCGAATTTTTCATGAAGAAAATGCTGAAGTTGTTAATGCTAATTACTGTGTTACCGGAAATATTGTCCTTCATACTATTCATGCACAGGTATATACGAGTACTTTATTTGTTGCTAGTCAATAATAAATAGTGGTAATGATAATGCTTAAATTACATTCATAATTTTGCACTATATTTTAATTATATTAGTTACATGGAAAAGTTTTGAATTGAGTTCTTTTAAACGTCAAATTTAAATTTTGCTGAATAAGCTGATTTTCTTACCAACAAAATAAGATTATCATAAAATTCATCATGTAATGAAAAGTGATTATATTTATCAAATGAATTTTTTAAGTTATACTCCATAGTAAAAGTCTTAGGTACAGATAATGCTCCGTAGACCTAGAATTAAAAAGCAGTACGCGCGCGTGTAGCAAATCCTCAAATTTAAAAATAAAATAAAGCACTTTTTGTCGAAAACTACTTAATAAAACTTAAATTTTGTGAGAAACTATCTAATAAAAAAATGTTATAATAAATTACCTAATAAAAATAAAATGTTGTAAAAAGCTAGTAAAATGTAGTAAAATGCTACCTATATCGGATTTCCACCATTATCTCCTAGATAAACAAAACAAGTTTATCCCAAGAGAAGGAGAATAAAATATAATAAACTTTCAAAAAGTAATAAATGTGAGTCCTATCCATCAATAACGGAGGTCGTTGACGACGTTTGGTGAACTAACCCAGGTTAACATTTTTCCCCTTTTTTTTTTCCTTAATTTTGCTAGTGTTTCATTGAGAAACTCATCAGAGCATTCAGCAACGGCGATTCTTCTTCAAAAACCACCACAACCATCACCATCTTCCTCTTTCATCTCCTTCCTCCTTGACTCCTTCAATCCACAACCGAAATTCAACCACCATCTTCATCTTCTTCTTGCAAACCGACCACCGTACCGACACCGACATTGAGAAATGGAGTGATTTAGGGCATGGTGAACCCCAAAGGATAAGTGAGCTTCCCCTCCTCCATTGTTTTCTCCATTGAAAGCTTGAAATTAAGCTTTGATTACCCTCTACTATTGAACCTATGAGATTTCTATTTTCCATCATTGAACCTCATGGTAGGTTTGCAGAAAGGAGATAAAAATATTTTTGATTTTTTTAATTATGGATTAAAGGATGAGGAAGATGATGTAGTGGTGATAGTGTTACCATGGTTAACTATGGTCAATTGCAAATCTTAACGTCTGTCAAATGTCTATCCGCAAATGACAACTGTACCCACACTTTTTAATTGGAAAATGACGAATATAGGCCTGGATAAACAACTTTTGTTTATCGTGGGTATAAACTTGAATTTTCTCTACCTCTAACCCCAAAAACCATCATCCCCAAGCACTAATCTATCCTCATTAACTCGGAATATCCTCTCACCACCCCGAAAATAACCTTACCACCTAGAAAACCAATCCTCATGGTAGTTTCTAGGGGTGTTATAAGGTGGATCAACGTCGTAAAACTAAGTCAACGGTGGAAATTTGGTCGAAAGTAGCATCTTACAACACTTTACCTTTTATTAGGTAGTTTCTTACTAATATTTTTTATTATTAGCAGGTGGTTTCTCATAAAATTTGGGTTTTATTAAGTAGTTTCTCTCAAAAAGTCCTAAAATAAAAAAAGCTTTTTTTTTTTTAGACAAAATTAAAATAAAATAAAAAAGTAATTAAGCAAATTAAACGTAATATTACAATGTTGAAAAAGTACACATAATATTTCATCTGTCTTTATCATTAACTAACTATTATCTTTCTTGTATCTAAAAAGGGAATTAATTAAAGTTATGTTTTTACAATTGTGTAGATTGGTGAGGCTGCGACAACGGATACTGTTGCAAGGATTACTGAGAGGTTGAAGAAATTTGAGCTTTGACTAATGTACTTAAGCTTTGATTGAAGGAAGATTATTTGTTTAGGAAGCTTAAATTAAGGACATAAGCTGTACGGGAGCATCGTTGACTAGCGTTAATCTTGTGTTATTGTTATGATTGTAATATACTTATGTCTTTACAATATGTATTGAACTGTCTAATACATTATTCGAATTAATTTGTCACATTAGTAGTTCAAATATATTGTTAATGTTATTATTTAGTTTAGCTAGCAATGTCCGTTGTCAAAATTTTGCATGTATCTGTTGCTTCCGTGGAGCTTGTTGCACTTATGTAATTTGTGGTAGAGCAATCTCCAAAACTATAATCATTCGTCAACAATTTTCTATCTTTAATTTCATTTGGACAATGTCTAATGCATTACAATCAACAATTTGAGCATAATGCACGGCCTACATACACCAACCCACGTCATGTTATTCGAACACATAAAACTATTATTTGCATGTGATGCATAATAATTATAGCATGAAAAAATTGCATAAAGAATTTAAGGTTAACTATTTGAGTCGCTAATATTATTATCTCCTTGACTCTGATCTATACATATGAGGATATATAATATCCGATTTTCTCTTCTTTTCATTGTATAATTTGTTTCTATGCTTAATTTGGTAAACATCAATTTTTTAGAAAAAACATCATTTTTTTAGAAAAGCATGTTAAAAGCTAAGAATAGATTAATTACATGGGTAACAAGTGATGAAAATTAAGGTTAGTACAATTTTTTGTAAGTAGGATGAAGTAATAAAGGTTAGGACAAATCATAGTACTTCTTTCATTGTATATTAGTTGTAACTTTGAGGTAATATTTGTGAGATATAAAAATTCTAAATTTGCAATTAATATGTAATAGAGAAAGTAAGAAGGATGAAGTATTAAAGATTTCAAAGTAATGAGAGAAGGTGGGTACCTAGTTAACTACTATTATGTTCTTAAAAAAAAAAAAAAAAGAAGTTACTACTATTATACCGGTATACCCATTGTGAGGGAAATACTACATTAATTACCATCCTTCTTTTACTTTCCAAACCTATTTTTTATTCCCTTTGTTCTTATCATTAAATCTTGTCAATATCTTATTGAAGGTGAAAGAAGGTGAAAAGAGAAGAAATGAAATAAAGTATATATACTTTAATTTTATTAAGAAATAAAATAAAATAAAATAGGACTGAGAATGTGAGATTGCGATTAGCACATAATATGTACTCTGTATTACTTAAAAAAGATATAAAAGAAATTGATAATGCTGGAAAAAAAAAATTGATGTGTTATCTGAAAATAATACAAGTATAAAAAATTGATATTTGAGCTAATGTAAAAATATGTAGTGTAAAAGTCAAAGTATTACGATACGTAATTAGAATCAGAGAGAATACATTTTTAAATTCTAAGAACCTATATCAAGCAAATATTCAAAGATCTAGTTTGTTAATTAAGAGAATACTAAGTGTACAAAAGAGCAATTTAAGAGTGCGATTATATAGTGTGCATAGTACAATTGCTTGTACCATATATGTGTTTGGTTAACAGTGAATCAGACTAGCTTTAAATATGACCAAATCCTACACCTATCCCATCACGGTATGAGCCGAGCAAAAGTGTACAACCCATCATGTGTAAGCCATGTTGTGCATGTGCTGACTTGCTGAGCTTAGCGCCAATTCGGGTATTTAGGACTTGTTTGGTTGCCTATAAATTCATGGGAAGTTTATTTTCTTAGGAAATAGATATCTATATACTTGTTTGGTTGACAATAATATAGGAAGTGGGACTTCCTAGGAACTTCTACTTCTCACAAAATGGGGGAATTAACTTACCTAGTCCCCTCTAGGTAATGAAACTTCCCATGGGAAGTAGAAATTCCCACATCCAACCAAACAATTTTTGGCAATTCGTAGGAATTACAATTTCATGGGCATTGAGTTTTCATGGGAATTTCTACTTCCTACATCCAACCAAACAAGCCGTGTCTTTTTCAAAGTTGTGTCATGCAGTTCTAAAGTAAATTATTGTATTCATATAAGTCGAAATCAATCTAAATTGGGCATTCTTTGGACCTGATCGAATCAAATCGGTCAAGTCTTTGTTTTTGACAACTGTGAGCTTGATGAGCTATGACTTGTGGTTTGGGCTCAACCCAATATAAGCACGAAAAAAATCGATAGTAACACAGTTTAAATTTAACACGAGAAGGATAGTCCAATGGAAAGGCTATGTGTCATTTATACATGGGCCATGATTCGAGAATGGTCCTCCTTTCCCGAACACCGCCTAGAGCCAAGCTTATCTATCACTGGAATTTGGTAATAAAAGCACGCAGGAGATTGAAGTTTGAAGTAGTCTCTCCGCAATACCACAAGTATATACGACTATTATTCTTACTCCCTTCGTTTTTTTTCTAAGAACCCTGACATACTTTTCGTATTGTTCATATACACCACTTTGATCAATATTGGAGCTTTATACATAATTCAGTATTTATGGATCAATGTTACTTCTAATGTGCACTTTCACAGCCTTAGTTCAAATTAGATTCACCCCTGCAGATGGATAGCCTGTTGCATTTACGTGTCACGCCTTGGATGATGGGGCTGGTGTAGAGGTCAATAATTTTCAATTTTCATTAGAAAGTTATACGTGAGGTGCAAAATATGAGGAGAAAATCAAGCTATAGTATTAGCTAACATATTGATGTAACCTAGTTCTGAAGTTAACTACTAGTACAAGATTACAACAGAAAATTTAGCAATGCAAGTATAGTATACAATAATATCCATGCAGCAGATAACAAGGAGTGTATCATATCCTTTGACCAATTTCCCTCCCGTGTATTTCTGTAACGTAACTTGCAATTTTTAATTTATAAGCACTTGTTATTGCTATTTTTGACCAAAAATATAATGGCAAAGAGTACTTGTATAAACTATAGAGTACTTTTGTTTGAAGACGACTAGTCTAGATTAAAAGTGGATTGCATAGAATTATTACATATTGATTAATCATCCCTATAAATCTTTATGTTAATCCCTCTAACCTTAGTGTCATAAAATCGTTCTCTTTAATTTATACCCTTAGACAAGTTTGATTTCTCACGCTTGCACCACTATGATAATTTTACTCAATATTTTCTCTCAGTTTACTAAGGATTTTTTTTTTTTTTTGTTTTGGTAACACTTCACTTATACTTTAAATCATCAAGTATCGTACACACACGTTTGCGTGCACCTCTAAACTGAAAGAAAAATAAGGGAGCAAATTATACATTGATTTGAACATTTGCTACTTAAACAGTTAAACTGAACTAGTCTTTAAATAAGCTAATGATAGATAACCAAAGCTGAAATTTAGGAAACCACTATCAAACCCACTAACTAGTACGGAGTAACAATGAACACGTGAGAACTTATAAGAACCCACCACATTACATGACTAAGAGGACGTTTGGTTAGAACAATGGAAACAAAGTGAAAAGAAAACAAATAAGAGGAGGGAAAGGAATCATGTAACTATTACCTTTTCATTTGTTTAGTTTAATTAACTATAGAAAAGAATCCTTTTGTATTTGAGGAGGGTAAGGGTATTTGTAACGTTAGGTTTTAGAATGGTTACAAATGGGTGGAATCCCTTACCCATAGGTAAAAGTAATTGTTACCAAATATCTTAAGTTTTAATCAAACATTCGATAACGATAATAGTTTAATTGAATCCATTTCCAACCCAAAAAATACACTAACCAAATATGCTCTAATTTAAGCATGAAACTACGAGTAATACGTTTCTAACAATAAGGTAACAACCACACTCACACTGGATTAAAAGAATTATTATCTGAATTAAGTGTCGTTGCAATTGTATATCTCACTGCCTATAAAATTCTAAAAAAAAAAAAGTTGTTATTAGGTAATTGAGGATATAATTGCTTAGTAATATTTCCAAAGTGTGTTGCGTACTTGCATGCCCATAAAATGAACTTAATGTCCCGGAATTGAGGCATTATTTATGATTTAAGAAATAATTTAAAAAGGTTTAGCTTTGGAATCATCTATTTGCATTTGCATGGCCAAGTTGCCGTTAATGCTACAATTGCAAGAAGTTAAGTTCCTCCACTTTGTATTTGTAGTAACGCTTGGTTGGCAAGAAGCCAAGAACCATGCATTAGCTCCGAATAAGTTGTAGGCTTGTATCCTTTTTGACACAAAGCTCTATGATTTAATTCTAACGCAGTGTGTTAAATATATTACAATTAGTCTAACGGCTAAAATTATAAAACATTAATAGAACAAAACAAAAGTTTAATCCGCTTAAAAATATTACAGTATTAATTTATTAGAATCTAGAAAGAAGTATATCAACACTATGAGTAATAACCACTTAATTTTGTCGCGCGGTGATTTGGTCCAAGTCGGGCACTTTAATTAAGTTATAACCAAAATAACCTTTTTACTATAAGTGATCATTACGGTCATGTTGGCATTTTCGGCAATACTAGAAAGATCTTTATAAACTAATTCGTGAAGATTATTTAAGGGAATGTGTATGAAAATGAGGTACAAAACAAAGCATTTGAAGTCCATCTCAAACTACATTATATTCACATCAGTTCAATTTATATAGGTAAATATTTGCTCATTTCAATCAAAATAAATCTTATTGTTTGTGTTCACTAATTTCTAAGTATTTTTTATTTTATCAAATATAAAAAATAAAGTTTATTTAAACAGATATTTGTTTGTCTCATAATAACATTCATTTTTATTTTATTCTTTATAAAGAAATTACAGGTTTTTTTTTTGGAAGAAAGAAATTATAGTTTATTCGAATCAAATCATCTTAGAAATCACAATTTTTCTTTCCTTTTTCCTATAAATCAACTTTGTCTAAAGTTGGACATGGGTCAAGTTGGCATCTCCAAAATGAGTCTAAGAACAACCCAGGCCAGCCCATGTGTTGTGGTGATGGCAACTCTAGAAATTATATTTTTTAACGTAAAAATGAGTGGGCATAATATACAACATGCTTGTTTGAGCACAAGTGCACAACCTAGGCTATCATGTGTGCTTCTCAGATCAGACTACCTCATGCCTAGCTAGCTTATTACGAAACATGCGGACTCGTGATGCCAACCTTCATAATCTTTGAAGTAAAATCTAATCTTTAAAGTAGTTATTTAGCAGGATTTTAATTAATAAATCAAATCACCCCAAATTCCAACTCATCTCAACTCACTATCGATCACTCGCGAATGTAGCCAGTAGCCTCCTTGTACGTGAAAATTCGACAATGTCTTGAATTCTAGTGCAAGTGTGCAGCAACAATGACAATGGTGAGTATGGTCAGCAAGACAGCAAGTCATAATTAAAAAAAATGTGTACATGTCCAATTTTACCATAAAGCAAATCATGACAAACTTAACCCAAAGATAAAAAAAAAAAAAAAAAAAAAAAAAAAAAAAAGAGTGACCCATCAAAAATATGCTCAAACAATGTCACAAATCCCACTTTTTTAACCACAGTTCATTTTATCCATCCCAAGCAACTTCACACTTCACTATTCCTTCCCTTAAACCCTTCTATAAATGAAGCACCACTCCACTCTAACCCTCCAAATCCTTCCACTTTCTCTCCCCTCATTACTCTCCCCCTTTCTTCACAAAATCATGGGCAATCTCTCTCTTCCTCATGCATTCTTTCTCTCTCTTCTAGTCCTATCACTTGCTACCTTCTTCACTGCTACTGCTACTACTGATAATGAGCTCAACACCCTTCCTTACGCCCTCCCCTCCTCCGCCCCTGCCGCCGCCCCCACCCACCACCACCACCACACTCTCTCTCCTTCCGCCGCCCCTTACCACCATCACCACCACCACAACAAATCTCACTCACCTTCCTCCGCACCCGCACCCGCACCCGCCCCAACCCACCACCACAATCAGTCTCACTCCCCTGCCTCCGCTCCCACTGCCCACCACCACCACCACCACAACAAGTCTCACTCTCCTGCCTCCGCCCCCGCGCACTCACCAGCTAAGTCCCCGTCTTACCCGCCAACAAAGGCGCCTGTTCCAGCTCCTGCTCCTCATCATGTAATGCCGCCTAGGAAGTTGGTGGCTGTTGAAGGTGTTGTTTACTGTAAGAATTGTTCTTATTCTGGTGTTGCTACTCTCACTGCCGCCTCCCCTCTTCCTGGTTTGTTTCTCTCTCTCTCTCTTCATTTTTATTTTACTCACAAGTTCTTCCTATCCTACCTAAGAAACTTTCCAAATGTAAAAATATATACTCTAGACTCCTAGGATGAAGGCATTATAATGTAGCATAAAGTTTTTTTTGCTACTCCTAGTAGTATTTATTTTTTTTCTTCATATTTTTAAATATTAGAAAGTGATAAACATAGCCCTTTAAAAAAGAATTATTAAGCATAAATTAATATTAATTATACCAATCTGTGTGTGATTTTGTCATGAATCCTCAACTTAATTTCATTTTAAAAAAATATATTTAATGCTTATATAGATTACCCTTAAAATTACCCTTAATTATTTTATAAGTACTACGTATGGGTTTAACAATATTACTTGTATTAGTATGCCTTAAAGGATACAACAAAGTACGCCCTTTTTTGGTACATCTTACCCGTGACAAAGTTTCAAAGAAGATACTTTGACCATATTTCATGGTTAAACTTCCTTAATAAAGATGTTAAGTACAGAAAGTGTACAACTATATGTACATTAAAGATCGTAAAAGTACGTCGATCAAACCAAAATATGTGGTATATCAAATTAAATAAAGGGTTTATCATCACTTTATTCAAACAAACTACTTAAAAAAAAATATATATATAAAAAAAAAAAAAAAAAACAAACTTATGGTACAGTACATTGTTTATAATTAGTGATACTGGTATCAACAACTAGATCTCCCACAATAGAGGAAGCTTATGTAGTTTTATTCAAATTAAGTAAAAGTTTCAACGTCTTTTCAAAAGAGTTTCAATATCAAATGTCAAATCTTAACATAAACGTTAAATAACACCGAACAACACGTGACTTGCTAATACTTATTGTTGTGTTATGGTCCTTGTGAAAACAGGAGCAAAGGTGGAGCTAAGATGCAGGAACACAAAGTACTTGATAAAGAAAGAATCAACAACGGACAAGAATGGGTTCTTCTTTCTTGAGGCCCCAAACCACATCACCACTTATGGGGCCCATAAATGCAAGGTCTTTCTATTAGAAAAGCCCAATAACAGTGGGCCATGCTCCCATGCAACCAATCTAAATGGAGGGATTTCAGGGGCATTCCTCTTCTTTAACAAAACCATGGCCCCACCACCTAAGCCTTTGCCTTACTCTCTCTTCACTGTGGGTCCCTTTGCTTTTGAGCCTTCCAAGTGTTACAAACACTAGAAAGGGATATTTTTAAAAAAAAAAAAAAGTTTAAATATTTGAAAAGTGAATTATTTAGTTCCCCATGCTTTTGTTGGTTTTTATGAACGTCTATTAATGTAATTTGTTTTATGTAACGTTTTATATTTATCTACTTATCGTATGCACTATGCAGTAGAGATTGGAAAGAGAAAAGAGAGAGAGGATGAGTTCAGTTGTGTCAGGTGTATTTCAGTATTGTTTTATGTGTTTTAGCGAGGAAGAATAATAACATGGCAAAGATGCATGATTATTACTCACTTGTGTATGGTTACTTTGAAATTTGAAAGTGATATTAATGTCAAATGTTGTGGAATTGGAAACAATTGCATCTTGCACGCAATGTTTTGATTGTTGTTGGACTTTGTTCGCTTGAAAATGAAAGAACATACGGAGTAAAAGAATATCTCCCCTTCCTATTTTCCTAAAAAATTACTCGTAATATATTATCAGTATTCGTAGGATTGTATGTTTTTATCAATTGTATTAGTGAGATATTCAAGCTAGAATTAGAATTTGTATCTATTATACGTAATATGAAAATATGAAAGGGATATATTAGACTTTCACCAAGTAAATAGGTAATTCAACACTTAATTGCTAGCTTAGAATTTGAAAAAGCCAAATAAGGTCGTTGTTAATACTACGTAACTAATGAGGTGGTTGTTAATTCCCCCCCCCCCCCCTCCCCCCTCTTCTCTTTCCCCTCTCTCTATTTTTTCCCCTTAACCTTGCTTGGTATTATTATTGGATTTCATAATGGTTTCATGTAATTGAAAACGTCGCCTAAAATAATGCATCTGTTTTATTAGTACACTTATAATGAAGTTCGACCATTGATATTTCTAATTATCTACTTTTTCTATTATTTTTTTTAACACTTTGTTTTTATTGTAATCAAGTGGGAGTTTGTAAAATTCGTTTTTATTTGTACTTTACTTTCACAATGTTAAATTTCTATGATTTTTACATATTGAAAATAAAAGATAGTATTATTGATTGAAATAAGAAATGTTACATGTTAAAAATTAGAGAAAGTGATTGTAAAAAAAAAATAAAAAAAAATATATAGAAAGTACTGGGCCTGAATTGTCCCAGCTTCGTATATTTGACTAGCTATTATTTTGGGCTTCTGCTGATTAATTATTTATGGCTAGAACTATCCCAACACCCCCCCCCCCCACACACACACACAAAATCAAAAATTGTCATTTCATCTCGATCTTTCTTCATTTTCTCTCTCATTTAAAGCTCTAAAACTTTAACAATGGCGGACATTAGAGACGAAATCAAACAATCAAAGCAAATTTCACCAAAAAAAAAACGGAAATCAAAAGAGTACGTATTAATGTTCATGTTTATAGCAAAAAATAAATAAATAAAAATAAATACAAACCCTAATTTTTTGAGAATATGTTTGTGATTGTGTTTCGGAAAACAAATTGATAATTCAATTGCTGAAAATGTATCAATGTAAGTATTTATGTTAATTATTGATCAATTTCAAAGTGACTGTTTCGAATAATCAGCACTACTAAAATTCGGTCAAATTGCGACCGTTTTTCTACGACCGTCATCAAAACGGTCGCATAATATAAATCTGCAACCGTCTTGAGCACAGTCGCAATATTGCGACCGTTTTTTAAAGCAGTCGCAGATTTGCGACCGTTTTTTAAAGCAGTCGCAGATTTGCGACCGTTTTTTAAAGCAGTCGCAGATTTGCGACCATTTTTGCCCTTTTAAACCATCGCAAGGTAATTTGAACATTTTTAAAATAATTCTAAATTAAAAAAAAAAAAAAAAAAAAACCCTTTTGCGACCGCCAAAAACGGTCGTAAATTGCGACCGCTTAAGAAGCGGTCGTAATTTTAGCAGTCGCAAAAGACTTTTTTTTATAAAAATAAAAAACGGGTATAAAAGGGTACCTTATTCACTCTAACCCTAATTTTCTCTTAAACCTCACGCCGCTTTCTCCTCTTTCTCACGGCCTTCTGTCTCTTCTCTTTCCTTTCTCTTTCTTCTTTTTCCTCTTTTCTCTTTCTTCTCTCTCCTCACTTCTCCTTCCTTTCTCTTTCCTCATCCTCCATGTTTACCGACGTTTGCAACTCTTTCCTCCACCACCATATTCACTACCTCTCCTCCTCCCTCTATTCTCTTTTTCTTCTTTATTCTTTTTTTCTTGTCCGGATTATGGTGTTCATGGTAAAATACGACCATAAAAATTCCAGATCTGGAGTATTCATGGTTGAATTTGACCATATAAATCCAAAGAGGAAGAAATATTTGGAAAGGTATGTTGATTTTTCTTAAAATTTTGTTTGTTTTTGTTTATTTTCGTTTTTGTGGGTGTAATTCGTTGTTTGTTCGATTTTTTGGTCAAATTTATGCAGGTTTAATTTTTTTTCAAATTTATATATGTGGTTTTATTTCGTTCGATTTTATTTATGTGGTTTTTTTTTTGTTCGAATTTATATGTGTGGGTATAATTTTTGTTCGATTTTATTTTTGTGGGTTCAATTTTTTGGTTGTTTTTGTTTATTTTCAACTTATGTGGTTTTATTACTTTTTTTGTTCAATTTTTGGTCGTATTTTGTTCGTATAATTTTGTGGATTTAATTTTTGACTCGAATTATTTCTCGATTTTTTTGGCCGAATTGTTGTTCGATTTTTTTGGTCGAATTTTTGTTCATTCTGGGTTTTGTGATTTTTCATTAATTTTGGTTTGGTTTTTTTTCATCTTGGATTTGATTTTCGTTTTGAATTTGGGTTTGATTTTTGGTAATTTTTTATTTCGTTTGATTGATTTGTGTGGTTTGTTTTTGCTTTGTAATTTTGGGTTAATTTCTGCTAGGTTTCATTGTTGGTTGACTTTGGTGTGGTTTGTTTTTGGGTTGATTTTTGTGGTTTGTTTCTGGATTGATTTGATTTTTGTGGTTTGTTTTTGGGTTAATTTGATTTGTAGTTTGATTTAGGTTGAGGTTTGGTTTGGTTTGATTTGATTTATGGATTTTCGTTGATGTTTGCTTTCGTTTGTTTCCGTCTTTTATATATATTTTTTATTTTTTAAAAACTTTTAGAAAGTGCCTTCAGTCGTCGCAAATGAAAAATTTGCGACCACTGTTATACCGGTCGTTGAAAATAAAGAAAACGGTCGCAAATTTATTGCGACCTCCAATCAGTCGCAATTATGACTTTTTGCGACCAAGTGAATAACGACCACCACGTTACGACCGTTGACAGTTGCAATTATTTTTAGCGACCGTTTTTGCTATTTCAGCGACCGTTTGCGACGGACGCAAAAACCGTAATTTTTAGTAGTGTAGTAATAAAATCAACATCTACTTGTTTCAATTTAATTTTCAGTTCAGAGAAATCTGTTTCAGAGACGAAAAACAAGATTCTTCATAAATGTAAGTATATATTTACTCAAACTTTTTAAATTTACAAGTATTTCTTCAAAAAAATTATTAATAAAAAATATATAATGTAAAAACAGTGATGATGATAAAACACCTCATTGGAAAAAAATACAAAAAAAAAAAATCATGTACAAAATTGTCCTATTGTAGATCCAACACTTTTAAAAAAATATACAAGCGTAGAGTTCTACCGTTGAAAAAATAATATCTCGGATGCATAGGTAAAATGAACAATTACAAAGCACTATATGTTCATTTCCATATTAATGAAATTATTTACATGTTTACCTATAATTACATGTTAATATGTGTTCATTAACATATTCTGATTTGATTATTTTTTAAACATGTACGAATAATGATTTGTATAAAATATTATGAATGCATACAAAACTTGAAATACCATACATTTTAATGTTTATTTAATAGTTTATATATGTGCATTTACATTTATTAATATGTTCATTATTTTTAAATATAATGAGCATTTCTACATACATAAATGAATATTTATAAAATGCATAATAAACAAAGCTGGATTGTAATTTTTATACCATTTTAAGTGAAACACTTGATGAAATTTAGAGATGGATATGCTATTCATATTTAATAGTTCATATATGAGCATTTACCTGTAAAAATATGCTCATTTGTCTTCAAATATAATGTTCATTTGTACATAAATATATGAACATTTATGAAATACATAACATTTTTTTTCCCTTCTTCTCTTTTTTGTATATAAACTAATATACAAGAACAATATATATTGCAGTGATGTGCCATTTAAAGTGGCATAGTAATGCGGATTACACAAACTATGGAGTTTACATAATGAAACACATGGAAACATTCACTTCTAATCAAATGTAAAATGGGTTTGTGACTTTAAACCAAACAATGTTTATTTATATAATGTTCATTAAATGTTTATTTAGTTAAAATATATTGTTCATTTATATATTACTAAATAACAATTAACATTATTATTCATTTTTATCAATAGGTAGACCAAAGCAGGAAGTTGAGGATGCAATACACACTCAACTAATGCTTTTTGAAGAAATTACTAAATGTAGGATCAACAGAAGATTAGCAAGGAAATTTGCAAAAGAGTAGTATTGTATGTGTATTTATAAATTGATATATGTTCATTTATATATAGATATTTTAAATAACATTTTATGTTGACATTTAAATAATTTTCAGTGAATAAGAGACGGATAATCCAAATATTGATGACGAAATTCAACCTGAATTAGTAAATCTAGAGTATGATTTCTATAATGTTTACTTTTAATAAATTATATGTTTATTTTCATATTAGTTGATAATAAACATCTTTTTTATTGATTTTTATTTAAATGATTCTAATCAATTGAAGTGCACACAAGCTAAGTGAATATCAAGTACAACCAAGAGATGATGTACATACAACTCAAGACACACTTTTTTTTTTTTTTTTTTAAGAAACTCAAGACACACATTCATACATAATAAAAAAGTATGTTCAAATATAGATAACTAAATGTTCATATATAAATATAAAACTTAGTTATACTTATACATTCTTGTCATAAAATAAAGGAAGTATATATAAACCATCAATTCAACTTTAAAATTTCTTCAAAATCTGGGCAAAAAGAGAACAATAAGTAAGAAATCTAGGTTTGTGCCTTTAAAGCTAATAGTTTAAGTAAAATTTAATAAACAAGTTATATTAATTTGTATTCAATTTTGTAGCATATAATGATCATTTATATAGCACTTAATGTTCAGTTTAATAACAATTTATTTTCATTAACAGGTAGGCCAAATCAGAAGGCAGGCTGAGGATGCAACACATTGCTCAACTAATACTACAGAAGAAAAAACCATGAGTCTAAGAATAATAGAATATCAGCAAG